TCAGCAACGATGACGGCGCCGGGATTGTCGCTGGCATGCAAGTAGTATGGTGACATCGGATCGTCTGTTGGATGAGTCATCGCAGCGTTCAAAGTATGACGAGATCTGATTGGATTTTGTCAGAAAAAAAAGCGATTCAAGGAATTCGAAACTAATCGGAGCAGATCCGTAAGAGAAGGAACAGATCGACACAGATTAGCAACAAATAGATCTCGAATCGGAGAAAAAACGAGCAATAGTAGAGAGATCGAACGAAAATCAGAACAGGAATGAAACAAAAAATCGAGAATCAGCGAGAATCATGTATGAGCAGCGGAAAGTAAGACGGATCGAGAATAGATCCCGAAAACTGATACCATAATAGAATGAAAAACAGTAAAAACAACATCAAATCTTCATTGATAACTTGAGAAACGATTTACAGAGAGGAGTTGAGAGGAAAGATTTCTGCGGTTTAGAGAGAGAGAGAGCAGAAACTGTAGAGACGAAAAAGTGAGAACAAAAACCCTAGCTAATCCTATTTATACTAAGGGCCAATAATAAAAACAGTGCAGGCCCAATATGCTAAAATGGAAAATACAAAAACAGTTACAAAAGCCCAAATTACAAACAATGTACAAAAGCCCAAATTACAAACAATGTAATATTCTAATACCTTCCAACTTATCTATTTTGGTGGGTTTGGAAAACTATAAATAGTTGGGTTTTTTAGAAGAAATGGGTTAGGAGGGATAAGATAGTGGGGTATGCTAGGGAGGATTGGCTAGAGTTTTTAGCTGCGAAAGATGAGTGGAGAGCTGAGATTAGAGGGGAGAAGGTTAGTAGTTCTTGTTTGGTGACAACAGACTTACAGAGGCTTACAGAGGGAGGAGATGGTAAACATGACAGTCAACTATTGCACAACTGGATTGATGGGGTTGGTTGGTTGCTTATAGTGGTTTAGAGAAGCTGCAAGAGAGTTGTATCTAGGGACTTCTGTGGAGGTTTAGTGGAGGCTACTCTGATGGCTTTGAGGGGGCTATGGAGGATGCAGTGCAAAGAAACTGGAAGGAAGTCATTTTAATGTGGTTTGTTCTTGTTGTGGTGATAAAGACGAGTCTGTGGAGCATGTTTTTTTTTTTTTTAGAGTCCGAGAGCTAAGCAGGTGTGGAAACTTGCTGGGAAGGGCCCAAAGGTTTGGAGACTTTTAAAGCTGGTGGTGGAGGATTTGCGAGCTAGACAATGATCAGGTATCAGAGGCTAGGATTCAACTGTCTACGTATATCTTCTGGTGGCTTTGAAAATCCCGCAATATTTAGCAATTTGAGAACTTGTGGGTGTCGTCTCCTTTTATTGCTCAGGTTGTTGTCTGAATGGACAGAGTTTTTAGTAATTCAGGATCACTATGCCTCGGTTTTTATTTGTCTTGTCTTTAGCTAGTTTGATGGGTTAGGATCTTTTATTAGTGGCAGTCTTCTAGCTATTGCTTTCCCTTCTTTCATTTCGGTTTGTAAGATTAAAGGGCACAGGGTTTGTTTTCTGCCTTTGATCTTATCAGTTGTGTTTGGTTTAGGTCACCTGCGTGTGGTTCTCCTTCTGTTTCGGCTCTCGGTTTAATCCGGTTGTATTCAAACTTAGTGTTTGGTTTCTTTCGTTTAATGAGCATTTTTATCATTTTGGCAAGAAAAAAAAAATAAAAATAAAAATAAATAGTGAACTGATTAGACTGCTATTTAATTTATTAACTAGTATCGTGGCCCATGCAAATGCACGGAACTATTAAAAATAATGAAATAAGGAAACATAAATAGAATAAATAATTTTTATATGCAATTAAAATAGACTACTATATACAATGTTTATATCTGTATATTTTACTTTTCATTATAGGGAAATGCTAAGGTCCCGTTACGGAACCATTCCGTCGGGGTTTGTAACCGGTAGATCAACATATAACGGTCAGAGATAACTAAGAGATAGTTATTTGATGGTTACAAATCTCGACAAAATGGTTCCGTAACGGGACCGTAGCATCTTCCCTCATTATATATCAGTATCTTGTGTCTTTTTATTTGTAACTCGAGAAGCAACAATGTAAAGTTCAGAATTAAAAGCCTAAAAGTAGATTCCTGTATGTATATATTTTTTAGTTTTTTTATTAATAGAACAAATTGACATAGTATTAACGAATTTTTTTTATATAGTTTTCCATGAATTTAACAAATTTCTTTCTAAAACAGTTATTTACTTATTTATTTATTTATGAAATCTAACGATGTGGACCAAAATTTATTGATAAACGAAAAGTTGAGTAACTAAATTGATTTAATTGGAACATCATGTACTAAATGCGCAAATATATATATAGTTGGGGTATAAGAATATTCTCAAATTATTTTATTATCTTAACACATTACAGTTTGTTTGAATTTATCATGTAATTTAGATCGTATTTTGACACTTGAATATATTATTTCTTACTTGTCCGGTTTTATAATTTATGATGTAATCTTATTTATTAACTATTATTTTCTATACATATACTTACAATTTCTTTATTTGCGAACCATTCTTTTATTTAAATAAGTACCATATTGTTATCTAGTATCTTCATATTTTTAGGAAGAATTTAAGTATAAATTATTATTCATAAATAATTCACCGTGATTCAACGTATTATGTACATGAAAAAAAAATTACTTTTATATTAATGAGAAATCAAAACAAACAAAACATTTTAAAATGCCTATCTATAAATGATAATAACAAATTTAGGTCCACTTTTACTATTAACCTATTATTAAAAATGAAAAAAAAAATAATTAATGGAGATTGAACGTGCTTAATAAAATAATAAAAAATTGGAACTAACTTTTTGTAAATAGTAATATAATGAAGGACCCACTAAACACTTACTATTTCTAGTAAGTAAGTTGGCTAATTATATAGTAATAGATATTTATATAATTATATGTACACTACTTTTTTTTTCGGTACAAACTGTGTACACTACTTTTAACTGCAAATACATGTTCCTTCCACATCATATTCCCTATCTTGGGGTCCACCATCATTGTTTTCCCAACTTTCATAATTTCCAAAGAATTAAAACTTAAATAAATAAATGATAATGGGTTCAATATCTAAAATCTGAAATGGGCCTTCCAACAGCATACCCCAACTTTTAGCAGCTTGGCCCAATCAGCTCGGCAACAACTACGAATTCCCCTTGTCCAGGTGGATCTTCCTTGCAGCCCATTTGCTTCT